CCGGGAGAGGAAAGTACTTTAAGGAGCCTTAGGGCCTAAATGTGCAACACTGGAGTAAATGTGATGAGAAAGCTCTCTTTCTGCCCTGAGTGAGCTCGGTTACCGCAGTTAATTGACCTTTGCCTGAGCGCAGGGCTAAGAATTTCGGTCCTGTGGGCCGAACTCCGCCTTGGGCCCTGAGCTCAGGCGAAGGTCAAATTATTATAGTAGGATCGAGCTCATCCAGTGCAAAACGTGATTTCCTAGGCCCAGGCAGAAACTCCGACTTCTATTAGCTTCGTCTCCTTTTCATGCCTTTTTGCAAGCATCTTCATCTCCGTTCCGGCTGTCATAGTTTCCCATTTGGAGCTCTTCAAATGCCCCTCCTAGCCGACTTAAATTTGAATTGTAAAACTTGTTTTTCCCAACGACGTTGACCCCAACTCATCTGGTGTCCTGGTGCTCACACTTGGAATGACCTAATACCTCGCTCAAGAAGTAATTATGTGCGGCCCCTTACCGCATGTGGTATCTTCATGTGGTCCAAGGTAAACAACAAATGAGGCTAAGCAGGACCGACTGAGAAACTCACTTGGAATGACGATTTTTTTGAAAGAGATGGATGGGCGAAATCCACGGGCATACTATCACAGTCCATCTCACCGAAACCCGAATCTCGGGAGCTTTCGTCCGTTTCTTTCAACGACGAAAACATGTCTGAAAAGGAAAGGCATAGAGAATGATTCCAAGAAAAAATGAACTTTGAAAAGAAAATGATACTAAAAAAGCACCTGGAATATGACCGAATAGAAGCTGAGTATCTTGTTATCTTAGCCACAGGTACCTTATCTAGCTCCTTGTAAAGCTATCAGATATTTAATGTCTTGATGTGACCTTAGAATATGTGGTGGCTGCACAGATGGCGCAAGAGGTTGGTGGCTAGGTGCACCTGAGCTGAGATGGCTCGACCGAGCGCCTGCCTCCGCCCTCGCCCCGCGACCTGGGACATGGGTGGAGATTGCCGCTGGGACCAGCTCCCCATGGCACAACTCTGCACACCGATGGGAAGACGATAATAGCAGTCATTCAACGTAAGGTGACGAGGTAATGCCAATGGCAAGCATCTGCATTAGACAAAGAGTCACACTTCTTGGACTTCTCAGAAGGGTTTTCAAAATGCCCCGGGGAAACGTGGGTCCTTCTTCAGGCTTGATGTTTGTTGGACCAGCCGAAAATCAGTTCAGCTGGGTTCCACAGGGTGCTATAGAATCAATTACAACTTCTAAGTCAATCGCTGGCGGGTTTGGGCCAAATTTACAGGGTCTAGCAGCCTCTGTTTACAGTCAATTCTCATGGGATAGGCTCCAGACCAACAAAGCACGAAACTCCTGACTGACTCCTCAGAACTCCTCGGGAATCGAATGGATAAACCCTTTGGGAAGGCAGAACTTCCCCAGATGTCAGGGTAATCCAACTCCAGAATGTCCACAGAAATCAGAGGATCCAATCCACGGAGGGGTGGGGGTCTTC